AAGGAATAGGTGTTTGTGATTTTGATTTTCATGGGAATTGCTAAATTGCTCTCCATAAACATGTTACCAGCTTTTACTCCCACCAATGAATAGGCAAGGCCTGTTTGCCCACACCCCCTCCAACACTCTATGAAACTTTTTGGTGATTAAAAATATGCTAAGTTGAAACATGGTCTACATTTCTCATTGATGAATGAGGTTAGGCATCTTTTCATATAGTTGAGAGTTTTTTGTATTTCCTTACCAGTGAAATTTCTGTAGAAATGTTTTGTACAGTTTTATTGGGTTGTTGGTATTTTTCTTGTAAATTTGTCGATTTATATATGTCAAAATTAGTCCTTTCTCTGCAATATGAATTAAAAATATTTCCCCTGGATTATCATCTATTCTTTAACTTTTGCTTATTTTTTTTACTATGCATATTTAACATTCTAATATATATATATACATATATAATATATTATATTTTTTTTTTTTTTTTTTTTTTGAGATGGAGTCTCGCTCTGTCACCCAGGCTGGAGTGCAGTGGCGTGATCTCGGCTCACGGCTAGCTCCGCCTCCTGGGTTCACGCCATTCTCCTGCCTCAGCCTCCCGAGTAGCTGGGACTACAGGCGCCGGCCACCACACGCCTGGCTAATTTTTTGTATTTTTAGTACAGACGGGGTTTCATCATGTTAGCCAGGATGGTCTCGATCTCCTGACCTCGTGATCTGCCCGCCTCAGCCTCCCAAAGTGCCGGGATTACAGGCATGAGCCACCGCGCCTGGCCAACATTCTAATATATATTTAAGTGTGTGAGTGTTTTCATTTATGCCTTCAGTGTTTTATTACCATACTTTGAGACTTCGAGAACAGCCTGGGCAACAAAGCGAGACCCCGTCACTACAAAAAAGTTAAAAAATTAGCTGGGTGTGTTTTTACCTGCCTGTGGTCCCAGCTACTCTGGATGCAGAGGTGGGAGGATTGCTTGAGCCCAGAAGGTCAAGGCTGCAGTGAGCTGTGATGGCAACACTGCACTCCAACCTGGGTGACAGAGTAAGACTCTGCCTCAAAACAAAACAAAATAAAAAAGCCATCAAAGTTAGCCAGTAGTGGCAGTGGGTGCCTGTAATCCCAGCTACTAGGGAGGCTGAGGTGGGAGGATCACTTGAGCCTGGGGCAGTTGAGGCTGCAGTGAGCTATGATCATGCCACTGCACGCCAGCCTGAGCCACATGGCAAGACCCTGTCTCAGAAATAATAATAATAATAATAGGACTGAGCACAGTGGCTCACATCTGCAATCCCAGCACTTTGGGAGACTGAGGTGGGCAGATCACCTGAGGTCAGGAGTTCGAGACCAGCCTGGCCAACATGGTGAAACCCCCCCAGTCTCTTCTACAAATACAAAAATTAGCCAGGTGTGGTGGCACGCGCCTGTAATCCCAGCTACTTGGGAGGCTGAGGCAGGAGAATAGCTAGAACCTGGGACGCGGAGGCGGCAGTGAGCTGAGACTGCGCCATTGCACTACAGCCTGGGCAACAGAGGGAGACTCTGTCTCAAAAAAAAGAGAAAAAGAAAAAGAAAAGAAGGAAAGAAGGGGAAGGGAGGGGAGGGGAGGGGAGGGGAGGGGAGGGAAAGTTAAAAAGAAAAATACAAAAATCAGCCGGACGTGGCAGCGTGTGTCTGTAGTCCCAGCTACTTGGGAGGCTAAGGCAGGAGAATCGCTTGAACACGGGAGGCGGAGGTTGCAGTGAGTCGAGATCGCACCACTGCACTCCAGCCTGGCCACAGAGTGAGACTCCATCTCAAAAAGAAAAACGAAAAAAAGAAATTTAAGTTATTCAAAATATAAAGGTTAAAAGTTCCAAGATTTATTTGAGTACTTTTATGGTTTTGTTTTTGTTTTTGTTTTTTAGACAGAGTCTCCCTCTGTCACCCAGGCTGAAGTGCAGTGGGCGATCTCGGCTCACTGCAACCTCCGTCTCCCGGGTTCAAGCGATTCTCCTGCCTCAGCCTCTAGAGTAGCTGGGATTATAGGCACACGCCACCACGGCCGACTAATTTTTGTATTTTTACAGTGCTGAGATTAAAGGCATGAGCCACTGCGCCCAGCCTAATTATTTTATTTTATAGCATGCTTTTGTTTCCAGGAAGAGTCCAGGCTTCTCTTTTCCCAAAAGTTCCAGCAGTAGTCCTATGTTGTCAAGGTTTATGCTTGAACCAATCACCGCGCCCAGGAAAACAGAATGCGTCTAGAGAGGAATGGTAGGGAAGGAGTGGCTGTCAGCCTCTTCCTAACCATGGGGACTAAGAATAAGGGAGGTTCTCCCGAAAGAAAATGGTAGTGCTGCTGGGCGCGATGGCTCACGCCTGTAAACCCAGCACTTCAGAAGGCCGAGGCTGGCGGATCACGAGGTCAGGAAATCGAGACCAGCCTGACCAACATGGTGAAACCTCGTCTCTACTAAAAATACAAAAAATAGACGGGCTTGGTGGCAGGCGCCTGTAATCGCGGCTACTCAGAAGGCTGAGGCAGGAGAATCGCTTGAACTCGGGAGGCCGAGGTTGCAGTGAGCCGAGATTGCGCCATCGCACTCCAGACTGGGTGACAGAGCGAGACGCTGTCAAAAAAGAGAAAGAAAAGAAAAGAAAAGAAAGAAAATGGTGGTGCTATTACCAGAAATAAAGGATGGATACTGAACTGGCAAAAACAGCAGATATCCACTATGATGGGAGAATCCCAAGACCCAAATCAACTCAGGGAAAAGGCACTGAGCAGTTACCACAGGCCTAACACTCTGCTACCCTTCTCCCCTGACAGATAACTGGATTGTCTCAGTTAATTCTCTCAGTGATCCCATGAGATATTGTTGTGAACTGATCTGAGCCAATCTGTCCCTTTGGTGGGTATCAATAGCATTTCCCCACCGCCTGGTAGAAGTTGGAGATGCAGGAGAATTCTGCTGCACATACGAATATCTACCACAGAAAATTAGCAAGCAGGTTCAAAACGGTTCATGCAGCCTTGATGAAGTCCCTGAACCCTGCAGGAAAAGGTCACCTGAGGCAGACGCAGCCATCCCCCAGACACAAACTTGCTACTCACATAAAAAGTATGAGTGTGGCCGGGCGCGGTGTAATCCCAGCACTTTGGAAGGCCGAGGCAGGTGGATCACGAGGTCAGGAGTTCGAGACCAGCCTGGCCAACATGGTGAAACCCCATCTCTACTAAAAATACAAAATTTAGGAGGGTGCAGGGGCTGGCACTTGTAATCCCAGCTACTCGGGAGGCTGAGGCAGGAGAATCGCTTGAACCAGGGAGGCGGAGGTTGCAGATCGCGCCACTGCACCCCAGCCTGGGTGACAGAACAAGACTCCATCTCAAAAAAGAAAAAAAAAATTATGAGTGTGGATGAGGGAACTGAGGCAGAGAGAGGGCAAGTGACCTTCTGATAAGAGAAAAAAACGCACTGGGACCCCGGCAGGCAGTCTGGCTGCAGAGGTTATTCCTATAGTCCTGGCCCTGGGCTAGGGCTCACATAAGCGAGCTGAGATCTGGAAACCAGCAGCATCTAGTTGATGTTTGAAAACAAGAGATGGATGAAGTGACCCGAGGAGTAGTGATCACCGGCACTTTTGGGGCAAGCAGAGGAGACAACCCAGTATTATGTCCCCAGTAACTGACACACTGTAGGTACTCTAAGTATTCATTGAATGAACGTAAAAGGGAACAACCAGAACAGTACAGTAGTAGGCACACCAGGGGAACCACTGTTTCAAAACTAAGGGAGAAAAAAGTGCAAAAGAGGGGAGTGGGCCAAATGCGGTGGCTCATGCCTGTAATCCTAGCACTTTCAGAGGCCTAGTGGGGAGGATGGCTTGAGCCCAGGAGTTTGGAACCAGCCTGGGCAACACAGTGAGACCCTGTCTCTATAGAAAATGTTAAAACTTAACCAGGTGTGGTGGTGCTCACATATAGTCCCAGCTACTTGGGAGGCTGAGGCAGGAGGATCATCCGAGCCTGGGAGTTTGAGGCTGCAGTGAGCTATGATCCCACCACTGCACACTACACTCTAGCCTGGGCAGCAGAGTGAGACTGTCAAAAAAAAAAAAAAAAAAAAAAAAAGAGGAGGTGGTCAACATACCATATGCTGAAGAGAGGTCAAACTCAAACTCAAGTCTGAAAAGTGACTCTGGATTTGGGAAGCAGAAGTCATTGGTGATGATCAGTTTCTTGGGGGTGTACTGGTAGATTTTTAACAACCAACTCTCCAAAAACAAATGTATCTTAACAACCAACTCTCCAAAAACAAATGTATCCATATATATACATAAGTGTATGATAAATTGTACTGGTATAAAGTATGGATAGCACAAAATTTACAAATAAAAAGGCCAGACGCGGTGGCTCACGCCTGTAATTCCAGCACTTTGGGAGGCCGATCACCTGAAGGCGATCATCAGGGTGGATCACCTGAGGTCAGGAGTTCGAGACCAGGCTGGCCCACATGGTGAAACCCAGTCTCTACTAAAAATACAAAAAATAGCCGGGCATCGTGGCACCTGCCTGTAATCCCAGCTACTTGGGAGGCTGAGGCAGGATAATCTCCTGAACTTGGGAGGCGGAGGTTACAGTGAGCCGAGATCAGTGCAGTGCACTCCAGCCCTGGCGACAGACCAAGACCCTGCCTCAAAAAAAAAAAAACAAAAAAAACAAAAACCCGTTCCTATTGAATGAGTATCATCCTAACGGGAACCATCCTGTGCACAAGATTACAGATCTTTACTGATGTGCAGTGTTTCCTGAGAAGAGGTGAAGCGTCAAAGTATCAAACAACAAAGAACAATGGGAGTCCATTTGCACAATCCTACCTCCTAAATTCCAGTAAGCAACAAATACAACTCACAATTTTCAAAACCAGATAAATTTGGCGAGACTACGAAATAGCGAAATACAAAAACTATTCCATGCACCGCATGATAACTACATTAACTAAAAAGTCAACATAACAGAAACAACAGCGATCGTCAGGAAGAATCAGATAGGAGCAATCAGGATGTTGCAAGTCCTGACTACGCAGAGACGTTAATCACGTTTCATGCATTCTCCAATCATCATGTTCTAATCTGCCCTCCAAAGGAGGAACAGGTAAGGATTATCCCACCTGACGATATTTGTGAAGAGCCGACATTCCGCACTCAGTCAAAAAGATTCCGTTATCAGCTAGGGTGAGTTCACGACGCGTTGGTATAAGTAACCCTACTACTTAGCATCCTTCCAGTTGTATTGCCATATTTGCTTGCACATTTTTAAAAGAATTTTTTCATTCGGCTGCCGAAAAGGAATAAATTTCTTTTTCCCAGAATGCTCCGATCATTTACGTGCCGGACGTTCTAACTGTAAGCACTTTCTATTTACATATCTCCGCCCACTCCCTTCCGCCAGACAACTACCGTAATGACCAAAATAGAAGCGATACCAAGTATCTTACGGTCTGCAGGATTAGAAAATAACGTTGCTTCTTTTTTTTTCTTCAGTAGTTTCGCCATCTCAATTGTGCCCTGAAAACTGTATATGTCTTAATCTTACTACAAAACATATTTTATTACAAACCACTAAATACAATGCGGATAATCCCAGACTCAAGACGTAATTATTCCAACACATATCCTCCAGCAGAAGCAGTTTCCGAGGGGAGGACCGAAGCCTATGCCTTCCTTCTTCCAGGAATACGAAGCGGCCCTTGCCCCTGTAGCCTTCTTCCTTAGGTTCCCGTCATGAAGGTGCTCAGAAAGGTTTCTTTTTCAGCCCAAAGACGGTGACGAATAAAGTCATTTCAGTGACAGCTGGAAGGGCACTACCGAGGCAAGTGGTAGATTCAGAAACCCTTTCAATATAAATACCCAAATCTCCAAACCAGAGACCCCACCCCTGAAAGTGTAGGACAGGTGGCATGGGGTAGGGAATGAAAATTCAAAAGACTACAGGATGTTAAGTGGATCTGGTATCTCACACATAGAGGAAAGGGCTGGGTGGGGGAAAAACCCTCAGGTTTAGGGTCAGCCTTCCTCCCTCATTCCCGAATATTGGATGCTACCACACCTGCAGAAGACAAAAATGTACCAATACGTAGTGCACTCCCAACGCTCGAATATGAAGAAGGACAGGGCCACGGATGCACTACAGTGAGCCCCAATGGCTTGGGAAGGCACCAGAGTTAAGGAAAGTCTTTGGATCGACAGATAGTGAGGGGTCAGAAAAGGCCAAAGGCCAGTGGTGGGGTTGGCATCTGCATTCAGGTTCATCGCTTGCTTCCTCACCATACTGCAAGGGCTAGAGTCAGGATCCCCGACTTCTGAATTTTAGGACAGTCATGTGAGGAGAGACCAGAAGTGACTGAGCAGATGGGATCTCAGGCTACCCTACCCCATATCTAGGGGCCAGCCTGGATCCTTCAGATGAGAGGTAAGAGTAGGCTCTCCTGCTATGCCACACAGGAGTGCTGACAGCGACTTGATATGCGCTGGAATCAGCCTCCAGTGTCCTGGTCCTCCTGGTCCACAATTCTCTGACCCATGTGCCTGGCTTTCTTTGCCTCTTCTGAGTTCCCAATGTGCTTTATATCTTTCGTTTTTTGCCAGAGTCTTGCTCTGTCGCCCAGGCTGGAGTGCAGTGGCACGATCTCAGCTCACTGCAACCTCTGCCTCCTGGGTTCAAGCAATTCTCCTTCCTCAGCCTCCTGAGTAGCTGGGATTACAGGAGTGCACCGCCACGCCCGACTAATTTCTGTATTTTTAGTACAGACAGGGTTTCACTATGTTGGTCAGGCTGGTCTTGAACTCCTGACCTCAGGTGATCCACCTGCCTCGGTCTCCCAAAGTGCTGGCATTACAGGCATGAGCCATCGCACCCTGCCTGTGCTATCTTTACACACTCCCATAGCACAGTGCTTATCACACTGAATTACAGATGTGTATCTACCTCCTCCTCATGGTTTAAAAAAAAAAAAAGTGGAGTTTTTATTATTACTATTTATTTTGTAGACACGGGGTCTAACTATGTTGCCTCCTGCGCGGGCCTCCCACAGTGCTGGGATTACAGACGTGAGCCAACGTGCCTGGCCAAAAACTGTATTTTACTCTCATTTCGGAATTTTAAGTGCCTAGTAAACAGCAGGATTTAGCACATGGTTGAAGATCTTTGAACTGGAGAGACTGGCTACAGCAGACACTATTGTGTCAGGTGGCTGAAGGGAGTCCTGATAGAAATGGGTCGTGTGGGAAAGGTGGGCAGGCAGAAAGGATACAGATGAGGCTCTGGGTGCTGTTGAACATGGAGACTCCTGAGAGGAAACCGGCCAGTTCCACTGCAAAGAGGCCCAGGGTGACAGAAAGCGCGGCCACCAGCCTGCAGAGAGGAAGTGGACTGGCCCAGGCCTTTGGACTTCTTCTAAGACCCCTCCACTCCCACCACCTCTTCGTTCTGGCCACCCCGTCCCAAGAGCTCACTGAATGTCCTGCTTGTCATACTCCTCGGGGGTGAACCTGAGAGGCAGGCAGGCCTGAATGTTGCTGTCCTGGGAGCAGGGCAGAGAGGAAGAGAAGTGAAAAAGGGGCAGGCTGCTGGGCAGGCCTGGGGGCGGCGGAACACGAGAAAACCCAAGTGGGTAAGACACTGGGAGAGGGGCAGGGTGGGGCGGGGACGACTCCGAGATGGGAATGGGGGCGGACGGAGGGCAGCCGTGGGTCTTACCCGGGACCAGAATAAGGTGATGACGACCACCAGATGCGCCAGGAGCGTCAGGAAGCGAGAGGGCACAAGCCCTGAGACCCGGCCCATGGCCCTTGGGAACAAGAGCGGCGGTCTCTGAGGCTGGAAGTTCAGAGACTGCGACTCCCGAAGTCCACCAGCAAGCGGACAAATCTAGACGAACTCCTCCTTTCCGCCAGCTCAGGCACCGCCCAGTTGCCTTGGTAACCGCGTACGCGGGCGTGCTGCCGCGTTGTCGGAAAACCTCGCGAGAGCAGTACATTCTCCATCTGCTGTGGGTCTTTCAGGGCTAACTCAGGTCAGGGGTACCCGAAGGAGCTTCTAACCCAATGGCTGGGTACCCGTGCGCAACCAGGCCCTTTGTTTATCAGAGGGTGAGGGGTGGCACAGCCCCGCAGCGCCCGATCTGCCCACGCAGGGCCGACGAACGGAAACCCACCCTGGCCTAGCCTGGGGACACCTCTGCTTCCGCGGTTGCCCACGCCGGGAGCGGCCCCCAGCCCCAGCTACGCTGCCCAGTTGTGGATCACTTGAGATCACTCCCACCGCCACGCCGGGCTGAGGTCCCCGCCATGCCGAAGACTCACACCCGCTCCCCTTCCCCTTCTCCTCATGCCTTTAACTTCCCACCAAGCTGGGCCTGAGAAACAAGGGACCCGAACGTGGAGAGGCCGGTGTTCCTGGACTGCTCGGCAGTTACAGATTGTCACAGAGCCCCTGGTTGTCTGAGGACCCTAGGCCTGAACCTTCCTTGAGGAAGACTGATTTCTCTCAGACTACTTTGCTCAGTTTGGTGAAGGATTTGCAGAGTGCAAAAAGTGGTCAGCGTCCTTAAACTAGCGTGGGAATAAGAGCAAAGCAAGGTGGCTGGAAAGGTGGGAGTGGACGAAGGGAATGGTACAGTCCCTGCGTCTCTGGGAGGCTTGGAGCCTACGGGAAGGAAAACTCAGATTTCTTTATCTCTTGGAGGTGCTGGACCTCCGACATTGCCCAGCTACAGTCCAAGAAGCTCTTATCACCGGCGACGTCATGACCTTTGGGCCTCAGCGCAGGTCCCTGCAGATCTGAAAGTTCTCTAATTGCTCAGTCAAGTCCCATCCTCAAGGAAACTCCCGGTCCATTTCCCAGGAGAACAATATCTTCCTACTTCCCACTCGACATCTCAGTGCCTTTAGCCAGACTAAAGTACAAGCCCAAGAGGCATTTCTCATTCCTTCAACAAATATTTTTATATATTTATTTATTACCTAGTAATAGTATTCTAGTCAGGGAGATCAACAACAGACATGCAAACAAATAAATCCGTAAGGTAATAGGTGCTACAAACATGGATACGCGGGCCAGGCACAGTGGCTCACGCCTGTAATCCCAGCGCTTTGGGAGGCCCAGGAGGGCGGATCATCTGAGGTCGGGAGTTCGAGACAAGCCTGACCAACATGCTGAAACCCCATCTCCACTAAAAATACAAAATTAGCCGGATGTGGTGGTGCGTGCCTGTAATCCCAGCTACTCGATTACTACTACTCGATTAGCTACTAAGGCAGTGGAATCGCTTGAACCCGGAAGTGCCATTGCACTCCAGCCTCTGCAACAAGAGCACAACTCCGTCTCAAAAAAAAAAAAAAAAAGGAAACGCTAGAATTATAATTCTATAAAAGTAGGGCATTTATAATTCTATAAAAATAGGGCATTTATTCTTAAACTTTATTTTAGAAACTTTGGCCAGAAATTGACCGGGAGTGGTGGTTCGCGCATGTAATCCCCGCACTTTGGGAGACCGAGGCAGGGAGATCACCTGAGGGCAGGAGTTTCAGACCAGCCTGGCCAACATGGTGAAACCCCATCTCTACTGAAAAAAAAAAAAGCCAGGTATGGTGGCGCCCGCCTGTAATCCCAGCTATTCAGGAGGCTGAGGGAAGGAGAATTGCTTGAACTCGGGAGGCGGAGGTTGCAGTGAGCCAAGATCGTGCCACTGCACTCCCGCCTGGGAAACAGAGCAAGACTTAGTCTCAAAAAAAAAAAAAGGAAGAAAAAGAAAATGCACTCTGGGACCAGAAGCGAAAGCTCATGCCTGTAATCCCAGCACTTTAGGAGGCCAAGGCGGAAGTATTCCTTGAACCCAAGAGTTTGAAGCCAGTCTGAGCAACATAGTGAGACACCTCTCTCTAATAAAACAATAATAAAGGCCTGGAGTGGTGGCTCACGCCTGTAATCCCAGCACTTTGGGAGGCAGAGGCGGGCAGGTCACCTGAGGTCAGGAGTTTGAGACCAGCGTGACCAACATGGTGAAACCCCGTCTCTATTAAAAATACAAAAAAAAAAAAATTAGCTGGGCGTGGTGGCACGTGTCTGTATTCCCAGCTACTTGGGAGGCTGAAGCAGGAGAATCATCTGAACCCAGGAGGCGGATGTTGCAATGAGCCGAGATCTTGCCACTGCACTCCAATCTGGACGACAAAGCGAGACTACATCTCAAAAAATATATATATATGTATTTATGTATATATTTATACATATTTATATATTTTAATATATTTAAATATATATTTATAGATATATACACACACACACACACACACATATACATTCAGATATATCTTTTTAATGAAGTTTTAGGCTGGGCACAGTGACTCACGCCTGTAATCCCAGCACTTTGGGAAGCCGAGGCGGGTGGATCACCTGAGGTCAGGAGTTCAAGACCAGCCTAGCCAACATGGAGAAACCCCATCTCTACTAAAAATACAAAACTTAGCTGGGCGTCATGGCACACACCTGTAGTCCCAGCTATTTGGGAGGCTGAGGCAAGAGAATCTCTTAAACCCACGAGGTGGAGGTTGCAGTGAGCTGAGATCGCACCACTGTACTCCACCCTGGGTGACAGAGTGAGATTCCGTCTTTAAAAAAAAAAAGTTTTAAACAATAAACATTAATATTTTCTGAGTCTTATATAGTATTATCATTAAGACATGAAATTGAGGAAAAAAAGGAATGATTTATAGGATTGAGAGTCCCTAAAGTGTTGAACTCCTATATATTGAAACTATGTGATGACATTTTCATATAAATCATCTCTTTAAAAGACAGCACAGCCTTTTCTTCATACTGGAGACAATGTAATCACCAAAACTTGCTTTTATTCCCATGAAATAAAAGATTGTGATTTTTTTAGACTTTACTGAGGAGTTATTATTATTATGTTTTTTTTAAAGAGCTTCAACAAAGTGTCTCTCTGTTTCTGTTTTTTTAGACAGGGTCTCACTCTGTCACTCAGGCTGGAGTGCAGTGGTATGATCATGACTACAGTGACCCTCGACCTCCCGGGCTCAGGTGATCCTCCTGTCTCAGCCTCTGGAGTAGCTGGGACTACAGACACGTGCCACCATGCCCAGCTAAGTTTTGTATTTTTAGTAGAGACCGGGTTTCACTGTGTTGGCCAGGATGGTCTCCATCTCTTGGCCTTGTGATCTGCCTGCCTCAGTCTCCAGCACCCAAAGTGCTGGGATTACAGGCGTGAGCCACCATGCCCAGCCTTTTTTTTTTTTTTTTTTTTTTTTGAAACGGAGCTTTTACCTTTGTCACCCAGGCTGGAATGCAATGGCATGATCTCGGCTCACTGCAGTTTCCGCCTTGCGGGTTGGGGCGATGCTTCTGCCTCAGCCTCCCTAATAGCTGGGATTACAGGTGCCCACAACCATGCCCAGCTAATTTTTGTATTTTTAGTAGAGACGGGGTTTCACCATGTTGGCCAGGCTGTTCTCAAACTTCTGACTTCTGACTTCAGGTGATCCACCCGCCTTGGCCTCCCAAAGTGCTGGGATTACAGGCGTGAGCCACCATGCCCGGCCGGTTCTTTTCTTAACTGTTGGACCCCGTCAAAGTTCTGAAGATAGTTTCAAACCTCCCTGCTCTCAGGATGGACAAGGAAACCTATCAAGTTTTCTCCTTTGAAATGATCCCCATTGCATTTGATTCCTAAAATGAGTGATAGTAATGACACCTAATTTACAATGAGAGATGAGCTTCCTGTATTCTCCAATGCAGAAATTACAGCATAGCAAGCATTCAAATGTTCTTAGGAGACAGGATAAAAAGACTGAAGGTTCAGCCTAGGCAACATGGCGAAACCCCATCTCTACAAAAAAGTACAAAAAATTAGCCAAACACAGTGGTGCACAACTGTAGTTCCAGCTGCTTGGGAGGCTGAGGTGGGAGGATCACCTGAACCCAGGAAGTAGAGGCTACAGCGAGCCGTGATCACACCACTGCACTACAGCCTGAGCAACAGGAGTGAGACCTGTCTCAAAAAAAAAAAAAAAAAAAAAAAAAGACTGAAGAACTCTTCATGCTTTTCTTCCCTGTCTGTAACTTACATGCATTTTTTACCTAGACCTTCAGAGGTGAGCTCCCTTAGTGAGGGGTTCATCAAATATAAGTGTTCACAGATTAAAGAAGTTGTCATAGGCCAAAAGTGAGGAAAATCCAGGACCTGCTTTTGCAAGGTTTTCCAAGGTCGCTGAATAGAAGGAAGTGAAAGAGTCAGCAAAGTGAAGATCTAGGAAAAGAGCATTTCAGACAGAGGACACAGCAAGTGCAAAGATGGTGAGAACAAGCCAAGTGTGTTTGTTGAACAGTAAGGAAGCCAGCATTTCAGAAGCCTAGTGATGGTAGGGGAATAAAAGATCAGTGTGAGGTTGGTTAGGTAAACAGCAGAGTCCAGATGAAGTCAGGCCTTGCAGCTACAGGGAGGGACATGGTCAGGTCGGTGTTCTAGATCATGACTCTAGTTGCAACATGGATGATGGATTTTAAGCAAATTTTATTTTTATTTATATATATTTTTTCATTTATTTGTCTTTGTTTTAAGCAGATTTTAAACAGAACGCTAATGAAGAAGCCATATAATTATCCAGAAGAGACAGGATGAGGCTTGGACCAAGTAGGTGGAGGGTATCAAAAGATATTTAGAAGATAAAGGAAGTTTGGACTTGGCGCTGTGGGTGAGTGGGGAAAAGGGAGGGTCAGGATGACTGTTAGATTATGGGGGCTCTGACAGCTGGAGGTTTGGGACATTCTGCTTATAATAGGCCTACTGGGCTGGGCGCAGTGGCTCACACTTGTATTCCTAGCACTTTGGGAGACTGAGGCAGCCGGATCACGAGGTCAAGAGATCAAGACCATCCTGGCCAAAATGGTGAAACCCCATC